GAGGATCACCAAACAGTGAGTAGAGAGGATCACCAAACAGTGAGAAGAAAATCATTGAACAGTGAGTAGAGAGGATCACCAAACAGTGAGAAGAAAATAATTGAACAGTGAGTAGAGAGGATCACCAAACAGTAAGAAGAAAATCATCGAACAGAAAGTAGAGGATCACCAAACAGTGAGAAGAAAATCATCAAACAGTAGAGGATCACCAAACAGTGAGTGGAGAATCATCAAACAGAAAGTAGAGGATCACCAAACAGTAAGAAGAAAATCATCAAACAGAAAGTAGAGGATCACCAAACAGTGAGAAGAAAATCATCAAACAGTAGAGGATCACCAAACAGTGAGTGGAGAATCATCAAACAGAAAGTAGAGGATCACCAAACAGTAAGAAGAAAATCACCAAACAGAAAGTAGAGGATCACCAAACAGTGAGTAGAGGATCTCCAAACAGTGAGTAGAGCATCACCAAACAGTGAGTAGAGGATCTCCAAACAGTGAGTAGAGGATCACCAAACAGTAAGAAGAAAATCACCAAACAGAGAGTAGAGGATCACCAAACAGTGAGTAGAGCATCATCAAACAGTGAGTAGAGCATCATCAAACAGTTAGTAGAGGATCACCAAACAGAGAGTAGAGCATCATCAAACAGTGAGTAGAGCATCATCAAACAGTGAGTAGAGCATCATCAAACAGTGAGTAGAGCATCATCAAACAGAGAGTAGAGCATCATCAAACAGTGAGTGGAGCATCATCAAACAGTGAGTAGAGCATCATCAAACAGTGAGTAGAGCATCATCAAACAGTGAGTAGAGCATCATCAAACAGTGAGTAGAGCATCATCAAACAGAGAGTAGAGCATCATCAAACAGTGAGTAGAGCATCATCAAACAGTGAGTAGAGGATCACCAAACAGAGAGTAGAGCATCATCAAACAGTGAGTAGAGCATCATCAAACAGAGAGTAGAGGATCACCAAACAGTGAGTAGAGCATCATCAAACAGTGAGTAGAGCATCATCAAACAGTGAGTAGAGGATCACCAAACAGTGAGTAGAGCATCATCAAACAGTGAGTAGAGCATCATCAAACAGTGAGTAGAGGATCACCAAACAGAGAGTAGAGGATCACCAAACAGTGAGTAGAGCATCATCAAACAGTGAGTAGAGGATCACCAAACAGTGAGTAGAGCATCATCAAACAGTGAGTAGAGGATCACCAAACAGAGAGTAGAGGATCACCAAACAGTGAGTAGAGCATCATCAAACAGTGAGTAGAGCATCATCAAACAGTGAGTAGGGGATCACCAAACAGTGAGTAGAGCATCACCAAACAGAGAGTAGAGGATCACCAAACAGTGAGTAGAGGATCACCAAACAGTGAGTAGAGCATCATCAAACAGTGAGTAGAGCATCATCAAACAGAGAGTAGAGGATCACCAAACAGTGAGTAGAGGATCACCAAACAGTGAGTAGAGGATCACCAAACAGTGAGTAGAGGATCACCAAACAGTGAGTAGAGGATCACTAAACAGTGAGTAGAGGATCACCAAACAGTGAGTAGAGCATCATCAAACAGTGAGTAGAGCATCATCAAACAGTGAGTAGAGGATCACCAATCAGCAAATAGAGAATCACAAAACAGCGAATAGAGAATCACAAAACAGCGAGTAGAGAATCACCAGACAGTTAGCAGAGGATCACCAACAGGCACTGAAATTGGAAACAAACAGATTGAGAAAGAACGAAGGACGTCCAAGAGAAACTCTTAAGACAAAGCGTTGTTGAGAGAGCTTGACGCTACTAGTTGTAAGAAAAGAATCCCTTTTCTGCCAGTTGCTCAACAGGCATATAGTACTATACACAAATTTGTATAGTTCAGTCAGCAGTGGACGGATGATATGTTGAACATCATGCAGCTGCTTTTACTTCCCATGATATTTCTTGGTGCATCCAGGGGGTTGCGGGGAAAACAAGAATAGACCCACTGCCTACCCAAAAGCATGTCGTAAGAGTCAACTAACTGGGAGCTTCTTTCGAAGTCAGTTCATATGTCTGAGAGGCAAGGAACCAACAAGCTGCATGCAAATCTAGTCCTAGTCCTTTTGAGAAAAAAATGAAAAGGTCGACCACTTTCAGACTGCTGCTAGCTAGCCGAGGCCGCCAACAGTCTCCGCCTATATTTGTGGTCTGGGTCATTTGTGTCACATTCATGACTAAATTCTAGTATTGCGCCATTTCTGGGCTTGGTGCTTCCATCCGGTTCTGACCGCTTGTCCTGCACCGTTGTTAGCTGTTCATTTTTTTCCTCTTCTTATCTAGTGTCTCCTCTTGGTGTCATCTCTCTCTGATTTGGTGCATGCAAATGAGTCAGATCTGTTAAATATATGCACACAACACTCAGTATCTGGAACAGGACTAGTCCACAAGTGGACAAACAACCAGAACTTTTTGACACAGTTTACAGCAGGTGAACATGAAAGAGAACATTTCTTGATGCCTACTTTCAATTTGATTGTGATTAGATCCAGCATAAAATACTTTTTAGAAACATTTTTATGTATCCTTTTGTATTTTATATACTGTATAATCATTTCTTTAAGACATTTATGTAATTTTCAGCCCAAAACTACCAGTGCCGGATGTGGTCATTCACAACAAAACAAAAAATAAAATAAGTAACCATGGAAATGAGGTGTCTGAGAAAGGCTGTAGGAGTAACCAGAAGAGATTAAATCAAGAATGAGGTCATACGAGATACTGTCGGCACATAACCAGTTCTAAATTACTTACAAAGACAGAAAATCAAATGGTTTGTCCACTTGGAGAAAATGCCTCTTGATGCTATACCATACAAGGCATATAGCAAAAGAGGAGAAGGAAGTGGAGCAAGAGGTAGACCAAGAACAATATCTGAAGATAATATCAGAGAAACTCTACAGCCCCACGATGTGTCTATGGTTGAAGCAGCAAGAAGAGCTCGAAGCAGGACCTTATATCCCACTCAACAACCAAAGCGGTAAAAGAGGATGTCAAGAAAGAAAGAAAGATGTAATTTTTATTTGAAATGTAGTCCTTTTCACAACTTTTGATCTGTAATTACGACAGATTCAATAAATGAGTGCTAAGATCATCTTGATTAGATTATGTCTTAAAATATTATATATAGTGTGCCTTTTCTTATCCTGATTAATTTTAGCTTTATAAGTAAACATCTTCGAAGATTATATGGGCTTTTCCTTATCTGTTTTATCAATGCATTTTAGTTCTAGTTATTGAACCGACAAACTCATTTATACACAGTCATGAATATACACAACCTCATTTATTCAAAAAATGGTAACAGACTCAAAGAGCATGCTACGGAAGGCTGAAACTGGTGTCCTGTGCACAGAATGGCTTGGATCATATGATAAAACTCAGATCGGGAGCTTATAATGGATTTTCTGTCCAAGAAATTCAGGTGTGTGAGGTAATGAGTAGGCTGATAGAGTTACTGCTGCCACTCCTCTGGACAGTGAGCTACTTTATGATAAACTGGATGTGGGGAAGGCTCTATGGGATCATATGGACAGTGCAATAGAACAGACAGAGAATCCATACACTGAAAGACTAATTCAACAGGCGGTGTAAAGAGAGAGGTTCTTGAAGATATAGTTTGAGGTTTTGAACTACGGATCAACATCATGGCACAAGGGTATCAACTCATAAGTGCTTTATTCTACTTCTAACTTAAGTTTGAGTCTGAAGTAGCTCAGCACAATGCAAGGGTTCCATAGCACTGGCAAGAATCCTGAAAAATGTTGGGTAGATTTTAGTTAGAAAAAGAATTCTTGCTTGCTAGATACATCCAGTTTTAACATATGGCTGTAAATCCTGGACAATCGGTAGGCAGGCCAAACAATTCCTGGAGGCCTCGGAGATGTGGTTTTACAGAAGAATGCTTAGAATACCTTGAACAGCCAAAAAGAGTAGCCAAGAGGTTTTGAAAGAGGCGGGAGCCCGAAGACAACTTATCACAGACATCAGAAGGAGACAGTCATCATTTTTTGGCTATGTTATGAGAAGAGGGAAAATAGAACATGTTGTGACCACTGGAAAGATATGTGGAAGGAGAGATAGAGGAAGACAACGAGAGAAGATGCTGGGCAGTCTTGTTGCATGGCATGGAGGTGTGTCGGCACATGAACTGATACATGCTGCAGGAGATCGCAGATTATGGAGAAAATGATCGCCCACGCCAGTTGGTGAGGCATCTGATGATGATGATGATGATGAGATTTTTAACTCAAAATTTTGCCCGGGCAGCGCCGTTAGGCTACTCTTTTCGATTTCCAACTGCCAAGGAGCAGCAATACACAGACCTCCGATCTCACTGCCCAGAGACCAGCGAAATTACTAGAAGTCCACGTGAATAGAAAAAATCTCAGCCTTCACCACGGGCTTGAACTTAAACCTCTAGCACTCGAGGCAGACACCATACCTCAAGACCATGCAGCACCCAGGAAGATATTCAACACTGAAGGGGAAAAAGAGGTGAACTTTTTTTCAGGCTAAAACTAACTATTAACATTACCATGTCAACTCCTTGTTGGCTACTGAGGAAGGGGCGGAGCGCATGTGGGAATGTCCTGAGTTCAGTGATGTCAGTAATGGATTCATTCATTCATTTATTCAAATCAGAAAACCTCATGTACACACAGATTTATTTATACACACACTGATTTATGAAAAACATATATTTGTGTATACACAAACTCATTTCTGCAAGCAGCTCATTTATGCAAACAAAGACTAAATACGGATTAGTGTATTTCATTATGTATTTTATTTAGGAGAAGTCCTGGTAGTTGGACTGAAAGAAGACTCGGTGCTTGGATCCGAAAGAGGACTTGGTGCTTGGATCTGAAAGAAGACTCGGTGCTTGGATCTGAAAGAGGCACCACATACGGTGCACAGATTTCCTGGAAAGTTGCAAAAGGAGCAGGTCAGTGGGCTGGAATCTAGTATGCTTCATCTTCCCCTTCTTCACCCGGCTCGACCGAATCAACTCCCACCTCTTCATAGTCTTTCTCCAGAGCTGCCAAGTCTTCACGGGCCTCAGAGAACTCACCTTCCTCCATACCTTCACCAACGTACCTGTGAAAGAAATGAAATTCATGAGTTAATGCCTCTGATAAAAGTATCTTATATCATAACTTGGTAGCTGCAGTAACCCAGTGTTCAGCACATGAGTCTGAGGTCACAGGCTTGAATTCTAATTAAGGCAGAGAGACAAATAGAGAGACAAAAGCTTGAATTTGTAGTTAACACTATCTCCCACTATCCAGTTAATGCAGATTTTCTGCATGTGGGTTTTGGGACCCCAATGTGGGGAAAACAAGAATAAGCCCACTGACTACCTAGCAAGCATACCGTAGGAGTCGACTAATTTGGGGGCATCTTTCAAAGTCCGAGTACATCTGCCTGAGATGCAAAGAACCAAGAGTCTGCATACAAATGTAATAGGGTGGAAGCGACGAAGACTACAGTACAACAGATTAAAGGTCTTTGAAGGTTTATCCTGGTTTGAAAATGCCAACCGGCAAAAAGGAGAAACATTGGCAGTTAATAGTCAGACGGAAGATGGGGAAAAATCAGCACACGGGGTATTTAAACGGCCGACTAACAAAGTTTCAAGCCTGTTTTGACTTCCGGACCAACCTGTGGAAGCCGAACCTAGCAGACTGATGCTTTGCACAATGGGCTGGTCTATAGGTATGGCGACCACAGGTAACGTTCGTGGTCGGACTGATGGCAGTCGAGGGTACGTTCAGTAGTTAGTTGGTTAAAATAGATTTTCATTTGTATTCTAGACAAGAAATAGTTAGATGGTAAATTGCTGTATATTTGAGGTTTTTTCCAGCACGTGGTCGTTTATGTCGTTACTTTTGGCCATGCTGATGTGAAGTTAAATAAAAATTATGTTCAATGTTGTATTCATAGTTACAGTTGCTTTGCTTCAGATTAGGGCTTGTGGTTAGTGTGCCTAGTTTACTAGTTTAGTTTAGTTTATTTGTTACCTGGACTATATTAGACTTTACACAGAAGATTTATTGTCTGGACTAGAATATTCTTGTTTCTAGTCCCCACCTAACGAACTATTTTCCTTTATTTTTTTATCTTGGTACTAAGGGTTTCTCTGCCCTAGTACACAAATAAACCAGATATGTGAAACAGATGTGCACGCAACACCCAGGTTCTGGAACAAGACTAAAATCCAGGGGTGGAGAAATGTTCAGAACTTTCTGCCAGAGTTGACAGCCAGTGAAAGTGAAGAAGACGAATACAGAGTTGTCTACACAAGTCACAGAGGTTCACTGTGAAAGTGAATGAATGAGGCTTACTACAACAAAGTCTGGCACATGATACCACAATTTCTAATCTGAGAAAGGAGGTAGAGGCAGTCATAGCAGCTTTCCAAGGCTTGAAAACCAGCTGATGATTGTAACCAACTCCAAAGAATGTTGAGAAAGATTATGACAGCCATGGTCTAGGTAGAGTTAAAAGTGAGTTCCTTTACAGGACATCGCAGAACCAACAGTAGTATTTTTAGTTGTGGTTTTTCTAGGCAAATTTACATCCAGTAGTTTGCCGCTGCTTTTTGGACAGTTGGCTTCTTGATACCACTGTTGAAACCAACACAAGGCCCAAGGCCAGCAGCTGGGATGGAACCCAGCACACCGGCATTACAAAGCGCATTCGCAGAGCCTAAGCCACAGACGCCAACCCAGGTAGAGTAGCAAGCATCAATTCAGAAGTCCCAGATAGTTAGCAACCTTCAGAGATCATCTAGCAAGCATCAATTCAGAAGTCCCAGATAGTTAGCAACCTTCAGAGATCATCTAGCAAGCATCAATTCAGAAGTCCCAGATAGTTAGCAACCTTCAGAGATCATCTAGCAAGCATCAATTCAGAAGTCCCAGATAGTTAGCAACCTTCAGAGATCATCTAGCAAGCATCAATTCAGAAGATCCAGATAGTTAGCAACCTTCAGAGATCATCTAGCAAGCATCAATTCAGAAGTCCCAGATAGTTAGCAATCTTCATAGATCATCTAGCAAGCATCAATTCAGAAGTCCCAGATAGTTAGCAATCTTCATAGATCATCTAGCAAGCATCAATTCAAAAGTCCCAGATAGTTAGCAACCTTCAGAGATCATCTAGCAAGCATCAATTCAGAAGTCCCAGGTATTTAGCAACCTTCAGATATCATCTAGCAAGGACCAATTCAGAAATCCCAGATAGTTAGCAACCTTCAGATATCATCTAGCAAGAATCAATTCAGGTCCCAGATAGTTAGCAACCTTCAGATATCATCTAGCAAGGATCAATTCAGAAGTCCCAGATAGTTAGCAACTTTCGGATATCATCTCCAGAGTATGCATGTGTGCTGAGAAATAAACAGTCAAGACAAGCTAGCTAGTTATACACCACTAGATGGTAACTTTTTACATAATAAGCTGGTCACAGTCCCTTGGGAGCAAGTGAACAATTGTGGAGGCACAAACAGATCATTACAGAGTGAAGAGAATGGAGAGAGTGGAGAGAAGGGAGAGAATGGAGAGAGTGGAGAGAGTGGAGAGAGTGGAGAGAATGGAGAGAGTGGAGAGAGTGGAGAGAGTGGAGAGAATGGAGAGTGGAGAGAGTGGAGAGAGTGGAGAGAATGGAGAGAGTGGAGAGAATGGAGAGAGTGGAGAGAGTGGAGAGAGTGGAGAGAATGGAGAGAGTGGAGAGAATGGAGAGAGTGGAGAGAATGGAGAGAGTGGAGAGAATGGAGAGAATGGAGAGAGTGGAGAGAGTGGAGAGAGTGGAGAGAGTGGAGAGAATGGAGAGAGTGGAGAGAATGGAGAGAATGGAGAGAGTGGAGAGAGTGGAGAGAGTGGAGAGAGTGGAGAGAATGGAGAGAGTGGAGAGAGTGGAGAGAATGGAGAGAGTGGAGATAGTGGAGAGAATGGAGAGAGTGGAGAGAGTGGAGAGAGTGGAGAGAGTGGTACAGCTGGGGGTGACCAGAAGATCTGGCTGATACTCTACACTCAGAGCAAAGGCAAGATTGACATAATATCAAAGTGCTAAATGCACCATCAGAACTAGAACTCTTTGCTGGCTGCTGAAGATGAAGACGGAGCACTTATGGGAATGTCCCAACTACTATGATGTTATTTCTTAACACAGATCAACTCAACTGTCTATAAAATGATGGGACTAATTCTTGAGCAGGGGCCGCCATTGTGTAGTGGCTAGATAGCTGCCTGCAGATCAGAAGATCGTAGGTTCAAATTCAAAAAGAACCAGATTTTTTTCAATGACCTTGGCTCTCAGGTCAACCCAGCCTTAATGGATACCAGGTAAAGTCCTGGGAAGTAAAGGTGGCTGTCTTGATGTTAAATACATCATCCATCAAGTGCTGACTGGTCTATAAAATATAGGTCTAGCCCTATATGCCCAATATGCCTAAAGGTGGATAAAAGAGTTCTTGACTTTAATTTTTAATTCTCGAGCAGCAAAGTAACAAAATTGATGTAGAAATATTTTGGGAAAGAAAGTATTTAATACTCATTATTTTACTGGTGCTTCCCCCCCCCCCCCCCCCCCCAATCAGCCATGAACTCATTATTTTACTGGTGCTTCCCCCCCTCCTCCATCGGCCATGAACTCATTAACAGCATGTTATCTTCTAAATGTGTAAAGCACTCTAATATAACTGTTTTAAATTGTTGAACAGGGTATATTATTGATACACTCTTGCTGTTTTTACATCCAAAAAGTCACTCTTTATCATTGGATCTCAAACCCGGAAAACAAATACCTGAAACCCAGTCAACAAACGCTTGCAAAACCCAGTCAACAAATGCCTGCAAACCTGGTCAACAAATGCCTGCAAACCTGGTCAACATATGCCTGCAAACCTGGTCAACAAATGTCTGCAAATCTGGTCAACAAATGTCTGCAAATCCGGTCAACAAATGTCTGCAAACCCGGTCAACAAATACCTGCAGAAGTTAGATTGTCGGCCAAAAGGCACAAATATCACAGGCATGCTCTAAACGGACGCTGTAAACAGGCACAATCTTCAGATGAACGCTGAAAGAGCAGTAGACATCAAATTTTCAAGTGGTTTACCTGACCCTATTTTGAGAGGGGGAAAAAAGAATAGACCTACTGCTCCTTAACAAGCATGTCATAAGAGATAACTAATTTTGAGTCTGGTGAAATCAAATGATGTGTTGGCTAAATTTACAGGGTACATTAATGTTTTGACAAGACACTCATGATACTGACCAGTGGACAAAAGCCCGCTTGGCATACATCAGATCGAATTTGTGGTCAAGACGAGCCCAGGCCTCGGCAATAGCTGTAGTGTTGCTTAACATGCAGACGGCTCTCTGGACCTTCGCCAGGTCACCTCCGGGCACCACAGTGGGAGGTTGATAGTTGATACCAACCTGTAGATTTAACAACAGAAATGATAGTTACATTTTGGTATCTCTTCATTGCAGTAAGTAAAGTAAAGTAAGGCAAAGTATTAAAAAAAAGTAAAGCAAAGAATTGTAAGGTGAAGCAGAGTAGAAGAGTCAAAGTAAAAAAAAAGTAACATAAAATAAGTTGAAGTAAAGTATGTTGAAGTAATGAAAATAAAATAACGTAAGGTAAAGTAAATTACTGTTATGTAAGATAAAGTAAAAGTGAGCTAAAGTAATTAACACAAGGTACGGGAAGCAAAGAATAGTGACACTGCACCCTACCAGACATATCGTAAGAGGAGACGAAGGGTAGGGTTGGGCTTGAGGTTGGCTACCTCATCCTGTAAAAACCATAGCCACAAAAACCAACCAACCATGGATAAGTCAAAAAGAGAAGCAAGTAAAATCCAGCCAACCAAGATGAGGGGAGGCTCTTCAAATAGAAGCAGTATGACACTGTGTAGAGAAAGCCGTAAGGAGTCCGGATCGTTGACATACCTCCTCTCAGCTAGGAAAACTTCCAGAAGTGGCACCTGGAATGTTAGAACTCTCTACGATTTAGGGAGAACAATGGAAAATTCACAGGGGCATAGGAATAATGGAAGATCAAAAAACACATAGAGAGCTGGAAAATGAAGTTGGAAAGATGGGGAGGACATGGGGAGAGCTCTATGCAATGGTGAAGGATAGAACGACTTGGCGTGAGTTGGTTGAGGGCCTATGCTCCATTGGGGGATAGAAAGGCAGAAGAAGAAGAAGACAGTAAAAATAAAAGTGAGGTAGAGTACAGTAGAGCAAGGCAAAGTAAAGTAAGGCAGAGTAAAGTAAAGTAATGCAGAGCAAAGGCTTCTTTTCCACACAAGCAATTACTCAGTTAAATGGTTATAGCCCCAAAAACGTTAGACTACATCAGCACTTTATGGAGTTGGATTTGCTGGAACTGGATGCCAAGAACTGCATTGTGAGGTGGAGGAAAATTAGGAAAGGAATAAGGACAAAAAAGATTGCAGACAGTTTAAAACTTAGAATCTGATTAGAAACAAGTCAAATACATGTGATGGCAATATTAGACCTCAACACTCTAACAATTATTGTGGAGGATTCTTTTTAAAGTGAACTGGTCTGTGATTACAGAAAGATTCTGAGAATATCTTGGTCAAAGAAGAGGAGACATACTGACATCTTGAAAGATCTGAACATCAAAAAAGATTGGCTAATAAACAGCATCCTGTCTCGAAAACTGAAATATTTTGGTCATATCAAATGCCACAACGGATTTGAAAAAATAATAGTAGAAGGCATGGTACCAGGAATGAGGGGCAGGGGCTGACCGTCATGAAGATGGGCACAGGATATAAGTGATTCCTTAAGTATGAAACTACATGAGATGGGAGAACTGGCGAGAGACTGAGTTTCTTTCAGGCAGCCCGTGATAAAAGCGATGTTCTGCAGAGGATCTGCTTCATGATGATGGTTTGTGATTCCCATGTTCCCTTATCACACAATGGAACACTATAATTTTAAAACGAGAAAAGGTGCCAGCATGAGACCTTCAGATGACCATCAGATTATGTGACCTGGGAGTAAAGCCTACCTATGTGGTTTCCTCACAAAATAAGCAAGACTCACTTGATACTTTGTCCATTAATATAATTCAGACATGTGCTTATTCCAACATTCTTGCTAATGCTGGTATTCATAACCCTGTCCCTTCTTGTTTTGTAAGTGACTTTACAGAGATAGTATTTTTCAAAGGCAGTTATTTTTTATTCTAGTGCCCTGTTCAATGTCCATGTCTGGCACTGGTAGCATAACATAGAGATGAAGATGCTATTAATCATTTGCTCTTTTGCTGGAATGGAGACATTTGTATGTCTTCTTCTTCTTCTTCTTCTTTGCATTCAGTTTTGTATGCTCAGATCAGACAATCCATAGATATATATATATATATATATATATATATATATATATATATATATATATATATATATATATATATATATATATTATATATATATATATATATATATATATATATATATATATATATATATATATATACAAGATAATTAATCAGGTTAGAAACACAAAACAAAAAAAAAGATAATAAAAGAAGATACTACTGACTTTGAATCCAGTGGGACACCAGTCCACAAACTGAATGGTACGTTTGGTCTTGATGGTAGCGATGGCGGCATTAACATCTTTGGGGACAACGTCACCTCGGTACAACATACAGCAGGCCATGTACTTGCCATGACGGGGGTCACACTTCACCATCTGATTGGCAGGCTCAAAGCAGGCATTAGTAATTTCGGCAACAGATAGCTGTTCATGATAAGCCTGCAGTGAGGAAAGAATTCACAATTTCAATCAGATTTTAACATTTATTTGTTTGTAACTTTCTGCCTTATACAGTGCAGACTAATAAAGATGATCTGGGACCTGGTGAATTTCTGTTGTGAAGAACAATTTATTAATCCCTAGCATTTAACTTTTCCAGGAGAAGAGAGAAGAAGAAGAAGATGATAAGGGAGAGAAAGAACTCTTGTCTGAAGAGGAATTTCTGATCTTCCTAAAGTCTATGCCATGTGGCGTTAGTAGTCATGTATATCAAGTCTTCTGTCTCATGTACTTTTGATCAGTTCTGACACAAATGATCCTCCATACCAGGATATAAAAATATCCAGCCTATTCTCTTTTGCTCTCCTTCTGCCTATCTTCTTCTCCAACTTTCCTGCTGTCACAATGAACTCCTTTTTCTCCTTCTCCTGACATGACCAGAGAATGTAGATAGTCTCTTTCTGATGTGGGCAGTCAGTTCTCTTCATTAGTTAAAAAAGGTAATCCCAACCAAAACATTTGGAGCAAATCATGCAGCAGAATCTCTCATATCAGAAGAGTAGTGTTATCTCTGTCCATTTGTCAGAGCTCCCTTCTAGAGAGTAGGCCTTGATACTACCACAAGATTTCTCCAACAACAACAAAAATATGATGATGGGCTAGTTATGTCACTAAAACGCCGCTGGAACTATGTCGGCCACGCCCTTAGAATGGATAAATCAAGACTTCCTTACCAAGCCCTCATTTGGACACCACAGGGGAAAAGATCTCGTGGAAGACCAAGGAAAACTCTACCTAGAACTATCATCAGGGAAGGCTCGCTCATGGGCCACTCAAACTTCCAAGACCTACAACAGATTGCAACGAACCGCCATGCATGGAGAGTCATGACCTCTGCCCTATGTGCCGCACTCGACACAAGAGGAAAGACTAACTAACTAACTAACTAAGTTATGTCACTATTAAAATAAAGTGCTACAGAAACTATCACTTCTTCTTCTTCTTCACTTCCACTTTTACCATCTTGGTTGTCAATGGAGATAGAAGATTCTGCTTCTGGCTCTTATGGCTGCCTCAACCACAGATAGACACACCATGCTGTTGTAGAGTTTATCTGGCAATATCTGTCCTTGCGTTCTTGCTTTGCTTTGTGTTTTACATCAATTTTCTCTTTTAGTGTTTGTCTTGTGCGTCATGGCATCACAAAGCATTCTCTCTGAGTGTGCAAACTATTTTTCCGTCAGTCTTTATATGTAGTTTAGTACTTTTTCTATGACAACATTTTTCTATTAAAGAGCTAATGTATTCAAAGTCTGTGACACTTTTAATTGCGTCATTGCTGCTTGTACAATTTGGTCAGTTTTTAGACTGCTCTCTAAGGGAGTTAAGGATGATTAACATACCGTGTCAGCTAAGAATGCTGGGTAACTTCAAGGAAATACATATTACTTATGCTGATTACCACATATGTTTGTCATTAAACTTCAGAAACATACGTTCTCAGCTAAGAATGCTGAGTAAATCAGTCAAAATTAACTTCCCGTCCTTTTAAGGATGAAATTTTTCGTTATTTGAAGCCCTACTCTGGCTCTTGCCAGGAGCCACAATATAGCCCGACCATAAATATGGCCTAATAGCTGAATGTAGTTTATGGGACCTCTCCACAGTGATCCTCATCCACATTGTGGCACATTGTGTCATCGGGTGTTTATCGCTTGTGTGATGTCCTGGTGGGGTAGAAAGTCAGTCAGTCAGTCTGCTGAGTAACATCCAGGAAATAAATATTACTTATGCTGATTACCACATAGGTTGGTCATTAAACTTCGGAAACATACCTTCTCAGCCGAGATGACTGGAGCATAGGTGGCCAGAGGAAAATGGATACGTGGATATGGCACCAAGTTGGTCTGGAACTCTGTCAGATCCACATTAAGGGCACCATCAAACCTCAGGGATGCAGTGATGGAGGACACGATCTGGCCAATCAGACGGTTCAGGTTGGTGTAGGTGGGGCGCTCGATGTCCAGGTTACGACGGCAAATGTCGTATATGGCTTCATTGTCCACCATGAAAGCGCAGTCTGAGTGCTCCAGTGTTGTATGTGTTGTCAAGATGGAGTTGTAAGGTTCAACTACAGCAGTGGATACCTGCAAGTAAAAACGTCTCCTTTTTGTTCACAAACTGTAAATAAAACATGGTTTGAAATTACACTGAAACATGAGTGAGTGAAGTTTAACTCCACTAGGACCACACAAGGAGCGATCAACACCCAGTGACACAAAGTGCCCCTATTTGGATAAGAATCCACCAAATGCAAGTTCCATCAACTCTGTTCACCAGTAAGATTAAATTAGGGCCCCTGACGGCGGTCAGGAAGTAACCCGAAGTCCAGCCGGGGTTTGGCTTTAATACCAAATTTAAAAAACAGTGACCTATTTTGGTACGGGTTAATACGGCGGAAATATATATATATTTTTTTACCTGGTTGGCCTCCAAAATGCACAGCCAGGCCACCCGACAACCCGAAGAATATTACGTGGGAATCCAGGCTGAATGGAGAAACCAGCCGGTATGAGTTTTTAGTGATGGCTCAGACCATTTGGGTTTCACCCGTGACTTGATTTTGTGACCCATCCCCAGCCCTTTGGCCAGACCAGTGTAGCAAAGCTACACTTTGATCTTAGCCAAAAGGCCGAGTCAAAAAACACATGGAGAAGAGAGCTGGAGAACGAGGTTAGAAAGATTGGGCGGACATGGGGAGAGCTCCATGCAATGGCGAAGGATAGAACGACTTGGCGTGAGTTGGTTGAGGGCCTATGCTCCATTGAGGGAAAGAAAGGCAGAAGAAGAAGAAGAAAAGGCTGAGTAATGCTGAAACATTTATTGGTAACATAAAAAATAATGAAGGAGGAAACAGTTTAAAAGAAGTAACGGTTCATTATTGACAAAACAGTTTAAACGAAGTAACTGGTTTATTATCAACAAAACAATTCAAAAGAAGTAACCAAGTTCATTATTTACAAAACAATTTAGACATAGTAACTAGGTTCATTATCTTTAAAACAATTTAAAAGAAGTAACTAGGTTCATTATCTATAAAACAATTTAAAAGAAGTAACTAGGTTCATTAACTATAAAAGAATACTTTGCTTTTCCTCACTTTTAGTTCCTCCTTCTCTTTTTTTGTGTCTCCTGGTGAGGATGTAGACAAAGCACTTACTTGAGTGTCCTAAGTGCTATGATGTTAATTCTTAACCCAACTCAACTTTAAAATCATGCAAATGTACTTACATTTTGATAGTGGTGATTCCCCTTCTTATAAAAAAAAAAAACCAGTTGAAATTGTAAGAGTGAATTCCTCTTCTAGTTCTGAATGTTATGACTTAAAATTACTACTTCTTGGAACAGACAGAAGTAATAAGGAAATTAATATGTTTAAGAACTACTTGTCGTATTTGTCTTGTTTTAACTGAGGAGCTGGGTAGATAGAGAATTAATGTGTGTAAGAACTACTTGTAGCATTTGTCTTGTTTTACCTAAGGAGATGGGTAGATAGAGAATTAATGTGTGTAAGAACTACTTGTCGCATTTGTCTTGTTTTACCTGAGGAGCTGGGTAGATAGAGAATTAATGTGTGTAAGAACTACTTGTCGCATTTGTCTTGTTTTACCTGAAGAGCTGGGTAGATAGAGAATTAATGTATCTAAGAACTACTTATTGAATTTGTCTTGTTTTACCTGAGGAGCTGGGTAGATGGAGAACTCCAGCTTGGATTTCTTGCCGTAGTCCACAGACAGACGTTCCATGAGCAGGGATGTAAAGCCAGAGCCAGTTCCACCTCCGAAGGAATGGAAGATGAGAAAACCCTGTAGACCAGTGCACTGGTCAGCCAACTTCCTGATGCGGTCAAGAACCAGGTCAACAATCTCTTTACCAATGGTGTAGTGACCACGGGCATAATTGTTGGCCGCATCTTCCTTGCCGGTGATCAGCTGCTCTGGATGGAACAGTTGGCGGTAGGTGCCAGTTCGCACTTCATCTGCAAGAAGTAGGTATAGCATTGTCATTTAAATGATTGCTTGAAAGAAGCTAATGAAAGTAGATCTCTATATTCAACAATAAAAAAGAGACGAACACTGTTCTCTAGCCACATAGTGAGAAGAGAGACACTGGAGAAAATTGTGACAACTGGAAAGATCAGTGAAAAAAAGGGTAGAGGCAGACCAAGGGAGATAATGCTGGATGGGCTAAAATGATTGCATGGAGGGATATCACCAAGAGAGCTGTTCCAGGCAACCAGGGATCGTGATCTGTGGAGACGCATGAGCGCCCACGCCAGTTGGCAGGGCACATTATGATGGTGATAAAAATTGTCATTTAAGGTCATTATCCCTTTGTGATTGTGCGACCACATTGGTTTTTTTCTGGTGGGGGAGGGGGGCGAAACAGACTTACTGCCCCCCTGACAAGCATGTCGTAAAAGTGGACTAATAATCAGAGGTGCTTTCTTCTACATCAGAGCGCATCTGCCTGACAGGCAAGGAAAAAACAGTCTGTATATACAAATAAGTCAGAACTGTAAAATGTAGGCTTTGAGCCGGAGGATTTAGGGACACAACAAACAACTCACTGTCATAAAAACTAATAAATAAACAAATTGAATATCATAGAGACAGACATACTTTTTTCTCCCAGAGTAAAGATCAATGTGCCAATAGGCATATGGTGCTAACCCCCCATAATCTCTTACCTAGAGTTATAAATTTTGAATCGGGTTATCTTCACGACCCTTTAGACATGTCGACATGTGCATAAGTGTTCAGATTCCCCATTCAACATGTACATCAACATCCCGGGGTTAGTAATGGCAGTCCTATGCTGGTTTACAAGACTTCTTGTATGTCCGGTGTGCTTCTCATGCCTGGCTGTGCAGATATTTACTCCCAATTCTCGCAATCTTAGCAGTGATATAAACATGCTTCTCAGAAAAAAAAATCTAAGGGCATATTTTTACAATGTCAGTGTGATCCATAGGATGGCCATCTGCAACCACAGCAGAACTGACCAATCCAACCCTGAACATTAGCAAATACTACCCTGACAACACACCCGTCAGCATCAGTCTCTGGATGCACTAATCTGATGATCTTCTTCTTCTTCTTGTTCACTGGCTGTGAATTCTGGTAGAAAGTCCTGGCTGTTCATCCATTTGGACTTTTGGCTTTTACATGGGCCTGAGTTTTGCGTGTACGTCCGTTTTACTGGCTTATTTGTTTGCAGTTCTTCTTCTTCGCCTCTCCGGTAAATGTATTCCGACTTCAAGGGAATGAATCTAATGATGATGCTAGCAACAATAATAATAACTTTATTCATCTCTTCTTACCTACAACAGTAGGCTCCAGATCAACAAAGACTGCCCTAGGCACATGTTTGCCAGCACCAGTCTCGCTAAAGAAGGTGTTGAAGGAATCATCTCCTCCACCGATGGTCTTGTCTGAGGGCATCTGGCCATCAGGCTGGATTCCATGTTCCAGGCAGTAAAGCTCCCAACAAGCGTTGCCAATTTGCACTCCAGCTTGGCCGACATGGATGGAAATACATTCACGCTAAGAAAGAGAAAATTGTTATAAAGTACAATTGTGGTTCTTCTTTTAATTTTAACTAGGCTCCTAAAAGGGTAGATAGCACACACTGTGCATATAGTTGATTTATCCTAGACTTATTATAGCTAAAGTAAAAATAAAGGACCTTTCCTACTTGATAAAGATTACTGAGCATAAAGGGCTAGACTTAATTCAAGGCTGGGTCAACCTGGAAGACAAGATAATTGCTTTAGAAAAATGTATTTTCCGTCAGAATGTTATTATACTTTTTCTTCTTCAGCATTCCAAGCCCTTGAGGTTCATTGCTGCAGATATTCAACTCTGTGACGGCCTTCTCTTTTCAGTTGGTGACACCAAGTGTTTGCAGGTCTGTCTGGATATTATCTCTTCATCGTCCTCGTGGTTTATGACCAATCATCTCCCTGGTGTATACAGTTTTTACTTCTCTGTCATCTGACATTCTCTCAATATGCCCCAACCATTTCAGTCTATTAGCTCTCATGATAGTTTTTATACTTAGTATTTTTATTTTAACATCTCGGTATACAAAGAGAATATTCCAGCACTTGAAACTTAAATGTTGTTGATTATGTTTACTATTATCTGCTAAAGTGATATATGAATTAATAATATATGCATGGAGTAAGGTCAGAAGGGCAAGTATGTAAGATGGGCCCATGTGTGCTAAATTTGTGACCCTCTGAAAAAAAAAAAAAAAAATTTGTTCATTTTTTTGTTCATTTATTTGTTCATGGTTTACAGCCTGGCTGTGATATCTGTGCTTTTAAGCCTGTGAATTTCAGCTAAACAAATCTGGTTGATTCTGTCAAGTCACTTACAAAATATTGGCTAATGCAGGTTTGATATATTCTTCTATTGTCATCACTGATACACAATGTTGGCTAAGTAGATTTGATAGATTTTTCTGTTGCCATCACCGATACATATTGCTGGCTAAGTAAATAACCCTTTTCAGGCTACTTGTACATGCAGGCATATGATGCTAACAAATTGTTTGTCATCTCCACGATGAAGACAGGTCACAGTGTACCCACAGTTGTCTTTGTGGATATTGCGTGGTGAAGCCCCAATCTCTTCCACAGTGCGACTCTTGTGCCAACACCCCACCCCCCCCCCCCCCCCCCCCCCCCCCAAAAAAAAAGACTAGTATTTTTGTGGTACTAACTGCCCTTCACATAAATCAAACCTAAGTACATAAGGATCATAAAATTTTTTAATTTATTCACTAAGCTATAAGCAACAGGTACTGGATGTATATTATTACAGATCAAGTTGTATTAGATGTGTGGTGTGTATCATGCCGGCTGCCTTTCCTTCCTAGGCAATTATCTGGTGCCCAGTGTAGGCTGGGGCAACAAGGAAACCAAGATCATTTGGATTGGATTGGATTTTTTACCCCACCAGGACATCACACAAGCGATAAACACCCGATGACACAAAGTGCCACCATGCGGATGAGGATCACCGTGGAGAGGTCCCAGAAACCGCATTCAGACATTTGGCCATAATGATGACCTGCCTATATTGCGGCCACTGGCAAAAGCCAGAGTGGGGCTTCAAATAACAAAAAATAACGTCCTAAGAAGGACGTAAAGTGGCAATCATATACAAGAGTTACACCAAGATCATTTTACAAAATTCCACCTAAAAGTGGACTGTTCTTATCTTCTGTGTTCATCTCAAATGTGGTAAGCACAATGTGTGGCAGTTTACAGCTAGGCTGCGATATGTGGGCTTTTCCTCCATAATATCGGATTCATCAAACCCCTATTTACTCGCCTCGCGCGATATGCTTGTTGAGGGGTTGGGGGTGGGGGTGTGGGGGTGGGGGGGGGGGGGTGTCTTTTTCCTTTTCCACAGTTTGTTCACTGACACTTTAGCTTTACATTGTGAGGGGACGTAACTCATTCTGTGCAAGTTCTCTCCACATTTCCTAGTTACTTCCCGTGTGATCAAATAGCTTCTAAAAAACCACTTTGGGTGGTCTAGTGGCCAGATGATGCGGGAAAGGTGGTTGGGGTGGTGTCTTCAAATATAAGAATGATGAAAGGCAGACCAAAAAGCAAAAAGCATACAGAGAAGAGGCTAGAAAAGAAAATCAAAAAGCTTTAGAGCACATTTTGTGGGCTGCGTGTGATAAAGGACAGAGCAGGCTTGGAGAGTTAACTGAGGGCCTATGCTCCTTAGGGGGATACATGAAAGAACAAGAAGAAGAAAAAGAAGAAGACTTGAAATTTCAGCTGCCAAATTGTTCGAGGTAAATGAACAACACTGACAAATTTACTGAACAAAGCTTGCGTGAGTATATCCCTGACACTCGTAGTAGAAAGGTTTGGAACTATTATAATCAATCTTTAATGCGAAAGTGGCACTAAACGAGGGTATTTAACATAATTTCTGCACGTTTTTCCTTGCGGACACTTGTGCTAGGCTACCTTGATAGAGTCGTCTAGGTTCGGGTCTGACGAAGACGGATTTTTATTTTTCAAAAATGACTTCGGCTCCCAGGTCGACCCAGCCTTGAGTGTGTACCAAGTATTGTCATGGGAAGTAAAGGCGGCCGGCGTGATGCTGACCACATCTCCTACCGAGTACCGATTGGTCTCTACAATATAGGTGTAGCCCTATATGCCCGATATGACTAAAGGCTTGGAAAAGTGTCCTTAACTTTTACTTTTAACTTGATAGGGTCGGCGTCTGTGGCTTAGGCGTTGCGAACATGCTTCGTAATTCTATGGTTCAGGGTTTAATTCCAATTGCAGACGATTTGGCAGCAGACCGTTTCGGCAGGGTACAGGGCGCCGACTAGGCAATAGCAAACTACTGAACTTAAAATTGCCTGCTGAAATCACAAATAGCTAACAACTGCTTGGGTTGTTGTTGTGCAACGTTCTGTAAATGACATGCAGACACTTTTTTTTTTTTTAAACTTGATGTGTGTCTGGGGCGTTAACTTCACCGGATAGGGGAAGGCTGTGTCTGTTGGCGGTAACTCCTCCTATCACCCAGGTGTACCGACCCAGTTTTCGCTTCCCGTCCTCGCGGTGGCGAAATATAGGTTAGTACCTGTCCTGTTGAACGAGGTTTTTCGCCAGTGACACAGATGAGTATCATTTATTTAGAACATTATAGTCCTATGTAGTCACTTAATAGTTAGTGCCTTTTTGTGTTTGTGTGCTGTGTTGTTTTCTATGTGCTGATGAAAGATAATTGCCGCAACGTCCTTTGCTTGTTTATTGTGATGGATTTTGTAAAGCTAACATAAACTATTTGTTTTCTTCTTTTCCCATAATTCCTAACTTTTTAAAAACCAGGTAGAGAAGAACGTATTTTTTTTTTTTCGCCAGGAAAGCGGCCGGCCTTTCCATGGACGGACACCCGCCTGGTGCCGACTCTGCCTGCACGTGACTGGCAGTCCTTGCATAAAATTAGCACAATTGTCGATATCTGTCTGCTGCTATTTTGTGAGAATTGGTTCATCGGCGATCGGGTCACTCATTGGTGGGCCGGTGGACGGCTTCGTCGGCAGTTGGGACAGTTTTTGGATCTGTCTCTAGTGTATCAACACTGTCTCGCAAGAAGACTGCAAAAGTCCTTTTCAGGACTACTTGGCGGCGAGCAATACTAAGCTATTTTATATGGCGCACATAACCTGGTCACAATTATAACTAAAAACTCCCCTTTTGGGGAAGCTGGTTAAACGTGACTTTTTTCAGCGAATTAAGCCAAGCCAAGAAAACTGGTTGAATACTGACATGGGAGGGGAGGGGGTGATGCGTTGTACATTTTCATTATGGGGTTTTTCATTGAACACTGACTTATATTTGTGGAAAGGGGGGATTTTAGCTGAATATTGGCATAATGGAAAAGGGACTAGTACTGAATCAACAGAGATTATACATATATATATATATATATATATATATATATATATATATATATATATATATATATATATATATATATATATATAGAGAGAGAGAGAGAGAGAGAGAGAGATGGGGATATTGAGAAATGCAGACACAATCGGAGAAAGAGATCCAAAAAACACAGACAGACAGTGAGAGAGAACGAACGAACGAACGAACTTTATTTTCAAAGTGTCACAAATTAGGCACGCAGGCCTGTCTTACATTCGGCCCTTCCAAACTCCCATCTTTCACACAGCAGCTGTATTTCATCAATGAAGCATTGTATGTTCATGTAATAATATCATCATCATCAGGTGCCTTGCCGACTGGCGTGGGCGATCGTGCCTCTCCATAATCTGCGATCTCCTGCAGCATGTATCAGTTCGTGTGCCGACACACCTCCATGCCATGCCACAAGACTGTCAAGCATCTTCTCTAGTTGTCTTCCTCTAACCCTCCTTCCACAGATCTTTCTAGTGGTCACAACATGTTTTATTTTCCTTCTTCTCATAACATGGCCGAAAAATGATGAATGTCTCCTTCTGATGTCTGTGATAAGTTGTCTTCGGGCTCCCGAATAATAATATGCACATTATGAATATCGAGTTAAAAACAAAAGCAAGGGTGGTAAAATATGTATATATATATATATATATATATATATATATATATATATATATATATATATATATATATATATAGAGAGAGAGAGAGAGAGAGAGAGAGAGAGAGAGAAGCAATAGTCTCAAGATGATATGAGGGAGAACGAGAGAGAGAGAGAGAGAAACAATAGTCTCAAGATGATATGAGGGAGAACGAGAGAGAGAGAGAGAGAGAGAGAGAGAGAGAGAGAGAGAAACAATAGTCTCAAGATGATATGAGGGAGAACAAGAGAGAGAGAGAGAGAAACAATAGTCTCAAGATGATAAGAGGGAGAACACGAGAGAGAGCGAGAGAGAGAGAGAGAGA